CAGCTCCTAGGGTTTGTTTACAGCTCTGCCCAGAGATACGTGTACAGTTATGTTTGTAAACTTAAGGATCTGATGAGTTTTTAAAAGTGAATCACAATGTTGAACTAAATTTATTCTAAAGCTCAATGCAGAGCTTTAGAGTTCAATGTAATCAAAGTTCACTGGAGATAATAGAATAGAGGACGGTTCTCCTGGCGTTAAACCCCCAAACGCAGCGACCGCAATATTTTTACACTTTGATCCATTTCATCTGCAGCAAATAAAAAATAAATAAATGAAAAATCCACTGAGGAAGATTTAATGGCTTTAGCTACAAACTGTTCTACAGATCTAATTCTAGGGTCTGCCTGCAGATTAACGAGGGAACCCGAACTATCACCCAGTCCTCACCTAGGAGCTGCTGCAGAAAGTTTTAGAAAAGTTCTAGTGAACTCATCTGGTTGAAATGAGGATCATCTCTGTCACCTGAGGGAAAAGTTTTTGGTTTAGCAGCTGACTGTAGATTTAATCCAACTTAATCCAACTAAAATCTGCTAATAAAATGTCCACTTGTTTCTTTTTAAGGAGCAGAATGATCAGATGCTGCAGACATGTTTTATACCAAATTCATTTATTGATTCCATATGTTTGCTTGTCAGTGTACAAACATCAAAATAATAAAAATATTATAGAGTTTAATGAAAGTTATATCATTTTAGCAGTTTTATTTGTTTTTAAATTAAAGCAATACGTTTGTGTTTAACTGTCTCATTTTTTGGGGGCCATCTGGTGAAAGTAGCCAGCAATATTTAGTAGCATCTCTGAAAAGAAAACCTTTTTTATAGTAAAAACCTTAAAACATTTTAGGCAAATGCATGGTGACAACTACTGGCTTCTGTTCAGTAATAACTGTGCATACTCCTCTGCTCCTATTACAGCTCACTAAATAAGTGGGCGTAAACAGATGGGTTGGCATGCAGGGAGGATTCCAGGATGTGTTGGGGAAGCTGTTAAGAACCAGTGACCCTGTTTCAGTTTGTGTTGGATCGAATTCAAGAAAAAAGGAATGGGTGATGGGTGAAAGGTCCACAGCATCACTTCTCCTCCACCGTACTTAACATTGACCTTAAGAGGCTAATCCAAATATTGGTCCAAATCTGATCTGTTGCAGATTTTGATCATAATTTCATTTTGCTGAAGCAGAATATTTTAGTTACAAGTTTTAGTAGTCAGGGAAATTCCACATATCTACATTTGCATGCTCCCTGTACGCCATGCGTACAGGGAGCATGCGTACGTCCAACCATATGTCACATTTCTTGTTGCGTCTTTAAAAAAAAAAAAAAAACATTTACAGGAGTCTTATCTGTGGAGATTCTCAGTCATCCAGGTCATGGTTAAGCTGTAAAAAGTTCGGTGTAGGCAGCTGGAGGTGACGTTTTCAATCAGCACTGGATCCCTGTGCACTTTAAACCCAGCAACTCCCTGAGACAAAAATTGGTTCACCCCAAACTCAGGACACCCAGAAAATAAGACCGGCAACATGGTTTACGCTGTTCAGAGTAGTGAAGAGTGCAGAGATCTTTACATAGGAGAGACCCAGCAACCGTTAGACACGTGCATGGCTCCACACGGGGGCCAACTCCCCAGGACAAGACTCAGCTGTTCACCTTAGACTTAGACTTACACTCCTTTATTTGTCATTTTGTATGCACAGAGTGCATACAGAACGAAATTGCGTTACATACAGCTTATGAACATTGCATTGATATTTCAAATGGCACGAGTTATACAAAAAGTGCAGCAGTGGTCAAAGTGTAAACAGTGCAGAGGATAAAGACAGTGTGCAAATTGCAATGGTTCAGTGCAGATAGGCATTTGTGCAAAAAATGCATTATTGAGAATAAAAATTAGATGAACTTAAAGGGCTAAAAGTTAAACGTTCAGCAGCATTGATGCCCGATAATGTGCAATAGGTGCAGAGTTCGGTTTGTGGATCAAAGGTTCAACAGTCTGATGGCAGTGGGGAAGAAGCTGTTGCAGAACCTGGTGGATCTGCAGCGGATGCTGCGGAACCTCTTCCCAGAGGGCAGCAGGGACAGCAGTCCATGGTGGGGGTGTGAGGAGTCTTTGATGATATTACGGGCTCGGGACACACAGCGCTGTGATGAAATGTCCTTAATGGAGGGAAGAGGAGCCCCAATGATTCCTTCTGCTGTCTTCACCACCCTCCTCACGTTCTTCCAGTCAGAGGCTCTGCAGCCTACACACCAGAGAGAGAGACAGCTGGTCAGAAGGCTCTCTATGGTGCTTCTGTAGAAGGTTGTGAGGATGGGCGGGGGCAGGCGGGCCCTCCTCATCCTCCGCAGGAAGTACAAACGCTTCTGTGCCCTCTTCACTAGAGATGAAGTGTTTAAAGTCCAGGTGAGGTTGTCCGTGACCTACACCTGAAGGCTGAAGGACATTCGTTTGACCACAACAGCGACCATATTCTGGCCAAGGTAGAAAGATGGTTTACAGTAAGTGAGGGGTTAAGGAAGCCATCTTTGTTACCCTGGAAAAAACGTTTCTCAACAGAGGAGCTGGCATTAGACATAACCTGTCACCTAATTAATGAAGTACTTTTAGGAACAATACCCAGAAGATTCATCTCTAACCTTCCCTCACCTAACACTGCAATGAGTTATGTGACCAAAACCACTCGCACACGAGGGAGTTTTTGACCCATCAGAACCTCCTAACCTCTTTTAGTTATCAGGCTCCTCTCCTGTGGAACCAACTACCAGTTTTGTTCTGTGAGGCAGACACCCTGTCTAAGACTAGGCTTAAAACTTTCCTTTTTGATAAAGCTTAGGCTCAGGTTATCCTGAGCTATCTCTATAGTTTTGCTGCTATAGGCCTGGACTTCTGGAGGACATAGGGACCCCTTTTTCATCATTCTGCTTTTTCTCATAGTAGCTTCACCTCATCTGTTCCTGTTTGGCTTTGACATCATCCTGGAGACAAACATCAGCTGTGCTGCTTCCATCAACACCCTTGTTTATAGATGCTGGAGATCGGCCTGTTTTCCAGTGTAGTCCTGTTTCTCTGACCGTGACTGGCTGGATGTGCTTTCTTCATCCTCAGACATGGGAGCTGCCTTGGAGCTCGTCTGCCTGGCTGTGTGTTTCCTGGACGGGGCCGCCTTTTGCAGCTGCTTTTTGTGTCTCTGCTTCCGTCTCCTTGAATCCCAGTCGGCCTCGGCAGATGGCCGCTCACACTGAGCCTGGTTCTGCTGGAGGTTTCTTCCTATTAAAAGGGAGTTTTTCCTCTCCATTTTCGCTACAAGCATGCTTAGTGTGAGGGATTGCCTTTGAGTCGATGCAATCAACTGGTTTTCCTTAGAAAACTTTGAATCAATCTGACCAAATAATTTGATTGAACTGTAAAGTACCTTGAGATGACATGTGCTGTGATTTGGCGCTATATAAATAAACTGAATTGAAATTAACGACCATTAACACCTCCCATTGCGACCTCCTTGGCCAATCAGTGACAGAGATCAAAGCCAGCTTTTATCCCCTCTAACTCTTTGTTCCACCTACAGTATATTAATCTCATTGCTCCCCACCACTAGTTAGCACTGAAGCCTCTTGAATGAGAGGCAACACGTCTTCTAGAAAACTTCACATCCAGTTGCTTAGACTGAACTTTTTCAAGCTTTACGGGAGTCGTTACCTTAAATCTGACTTTTACATGTTTAAAAATTTGTATTGAGCATTAATTAAAACCAGCCGAAAAATCTGAATTGTAAACTGCAACATTGATCTAGAAATAACTAAACGTCTCTTAAATTAATTGTATTTACCCATAATTTGAGTAGAAAATAAGATGGTTTGCCAATGCAGTTAGTGTTTACTCTTAAAATAAGTTAAATAATATGAACTTGAAATAAGACAATGCAATTGTTTTTCTTATTTTATAATGTAAACTGTCTTGTTTCATTGGCAAAGTATCTCACTTACCTCCTCAATTCAAGAAAAAAATTATTTTAAGAAAAAATGACTAGATTTTTATTTTTTGCACTTTTTTTTTTTTAAATGTTGGCCTTCTGTTCAAACCAAGAATGTCCACTAGAGTGCACTCTCCAAAAAGCGCCATTTTGGTCCTCCTATACCAGCTTCAGTCCAGGAAAGGTGCTAACATTCTCCTACCGGCTGTCAGTGTCACTGCTTGTTCAACTTTTTACCTTTTGTGTAAGAAACCAGGAAACCGTGGTAAGCTGCAAATGTTTCAAACACTAAATCCACATGAAAGGGAATGAAAATGAGTCTGAGCTCTGATTGTTTTTTCCTGAAAATGATTAAACATGAATTTAAAGATGGTCAGGAGGATATTATGGGTTAAACGCCAGGTTATGACTCCTCTATGCCTAGTTGGGTAGAAAATGTTGGAGCAGAAAGTTAAATAAATTAAAAATGAGAAAGGCTGGATGCTTCATGCCATGAATTTATAACTATTTAGGGTGTAGGCTTCTCCAAAATACAATAAACTAACAGCCAGCGTGTGTGAAAACACCTTCAGGCAGGTTCTCATAGAGAAGTTTTAGACCAACCATTAAAACACCCAGTCTACTCTATTTCCTCTCTAACCAAACCCTGCAGAGTCCCACTGATCTGCAGACTGTGTGGGTGTCGATGGTAACCAAACAAACCAACCATTCGCTTCAGGAGTGTACCAGCGTTTGTTTTTTAGGTCATCGGTCTCTTCTAGACGGGAATCTCCCCACTTCCCAACCTCGTTGAAACGCATGACCTGATAAGATCATCAGCAGCAGGAAGAAGCGGTAAACACCGACAGCAGAGATTTAGTGTAGATCAGATGGCATCAACGGTTTAATCTGCAGCATCTCAGCATAAAGAACCTGACAGGAACCTGCTGAAATAGCTATTTGCCCAATTAGTTATGATCAGAGGAATGAAATACGAGACAGAATCAGCTTATAAACCAGAGCAGATTATTTTTTTCATAAACTTTTAATGAGAAAAAAACAATAAATTACAAGAAATCAGGATAAATAAATACTTAGCTGTTTGAGCGTCACCTTCATTTACAGAGTGCACTGAGAACAGAAACGGCGGTAAGAAAAGTGGACAGAAAAAGTCAAACTGAAGGTCCGGTTGGATCAATTTGGCTGATTTCTTCCTTAGGACAGGTTACGAATATACAAACATATCTGGTCACTGTAACGAACAGGAAAAAGTTTAATAATCCAGCATATTTCTTTTGAGATGACAACTGCTAATTTTTTTTGCACACTTCCTTTCTCTGGTGGAGAAGCTTTCAGATGTCTTTATGTAATAAAATGAGCCAAATACTGTTTTAAGATTCTCATCGGGTCAATATGACTCCTTTCAACAGTCATTACAGCAGTTTTATCTGGAGTCATAGAGAACAGTCCAAGTACTGATAAGGCTTCTAACGGATCTCTTTACATGTTGAGCTTCTGGGGACTATCTGTGCTGAAGGCGGATTCACTCAGACGGTTACAGAGAGGAACACTGGTGGAAGGCGAGTCCTCTAAAGGATATCTGACCGGAGCTGCTCTCACAGCCCCTTCAGGGAGGAGACCTTCTTCTTCCGAGCTGCCAGCATCTCATAGAAGGGGTCTTTGCTGATGGCGGCCCTGCAGGGTGCGAGGAGAAGAAAAATGTTGGTTTAAAGCAATGAAGGAGATGCACAAGAACAGCCAAAACGACTGAACCAGACAAATAATGGTGCAACATGTGACAGTGAGAATTTCACTGTTTAAAATGGTTTAATTATAGATCAGAACAACCATTTCTGCAGGTTTCAGCCCCAAGTGATTCATTTCAACCACAAGTTGTGTCAAATCAGCAAATCCATGTATAAATATAACTGAACAACTTGTAGATAAATTAGGGGCGTCTCAAAGCTGCTGTCCTGCAGGTTTTAATGTTTCTTTGCTTCAGCAATACCTTTTTAATGGCTGATTATAAAGGTATTGCTGAACTGAAATCATCTTAATCAGGCGTGTTAAAGCAGGACACTGGTTCCAGAGGATAGACCCTATAATAGCATTTTAAATCCAACTTTACATGGTTGGGGAAACACGAAATACTGACCGCTTTGAACAACAAAAACATCCAAACTGCTGAGCAACAGGCACAATAATAACTCCATTACAGATCATCTCACATGGATGATATGCCGTAATATTTTAAAAACAGTTTAAACTTTTACTTTTGATTAAAAATATCTGGCTTCAGGAAAACAATTTTTTTTTTGATCCATTAAGTTTAGATTTCATACATGAACTTTCTGATTTGTGACTTTAAATGACTTTACTTTAAAAAAAACGCTGCGATTTTCAGATATTGTAAAATATAAACTGGGTTTATCATAAAAAATTAACAGTGCTTATTATATTTAATGTTTTAAAATTAGAGAAGAGGAATCAAATATTTCTCTTTGAAGTTGTGAGCCAATTTAATTAGATTCAATCATCGTTTGTTGCTCTGGACCTTTGAGCTCATCTGAAAGTGGAGATTAGAAACAGCTGCTCTGTCTCAGCGCTCAGACCAGGTGCAGCAGAGGAAAGTAAAGGTCTCACTTGATGCTTTTGATCCATTCGTCCTTCTCCTCAGCTGTTGGAGCAGAGATTCTGTAGAACGTGTGGTTTCCCTCCACCACTCGGCCGTCCGCCTCCGTCTTACACGCTTTGATCACCTGATCTTTATTGTTGGGGATGAAGAGCTCAAAGCAGTTCTGGAAGGCGATAAACGATAGTGGATCTATTTCCTATTTGCAATTAAAGCTGAAAACTGAACACTTTTCTTTATACTCTGTTAATTTAATCACAAAAAGTAAAATGTTCTGTTGAGCTTCTGGTTTACTGTAATAAAATCTGGAAAACAAGCAGCTAAGTTCTGCAGCTGGGATGTTACATGCATTAAAAACAGAGGGAGTCATGGAAAGTTAACCTATTTCCTGGTGTCATCTTCCCATTGCCTCTTTTTTATTTGTTTTGTTTAAATTCAATCTGGAACCTTAAAGTAGTAAAAAAGGAAGTAAACAAAAAGGAAGGCCAGCAGTTTACCGGTTTCTTTGAGTCTTCCACTTCTCTGATACTCAGATTCTCCAGTGGAATAATCCCTCTGGGTTCTTTATCCTTATGAAAACAAACAACTAGCTGTAAGAGCAGCCTTTAAAAAAAACAAACACCTGCAGCAGAAACAAACTGATCCAAACTTACTGTGGTGTATTCGAAGTAGTAGAGGCAGTTATCTGTGAGGATAAACCAACGTCTCTTCCAGGTCTTTACTCGTCCACCTGAAGACAGATCAAACTTCTGAAAATGGACGCATTAAAACCTCAATCTGCAGGTTAATTCAAGTCCAACTAGTAGCAAGTGATGATTTTATGTCAAAGCAGGCAAAAAGCAGAAAAGCTTGGATATTAAATGCATCACATGTTTAATTAGTACAGAAGGGATGAACTAGGAGCAGCTCTGAGGCAAAGCAGTGCACTGAAGCCTCATAAACGATACGTACCTCCTGGATCCAAAACCATGAAACAAAGACAAAGAAGAATGTTTAGAAACTGAACATAAAGCAGGAACCAAATGACGTGTGAGACAACAGGAGGGGACATACCCAGCTTTAGCAGCCAGCCCTCTCTGTCAGGGTTGAAGAAGGTGTGTGTGAGGTCGTTCCCGTCGTCCTCTGGGATCTTAAAGGGTTCGTTCTTGATGCTGTCGTAGAGGTTCTGCAGAGATGGTGATGGTGAGGATATGGATCACAGAGCAAACATGGAGACAATTTCCAGTTAGAGGTTTCTCAGAGATTGATTAAAAAGAGCTGCTCTGATGGAAAAGCTGTTGTTACTGTTTAGACTTTGACCGCCTTCCTGGTTACGGCCATCGTGCTGTGGATACCACAGCCCTGTTTAACATTAGCCGCCTGGAGGAACACAATATCTCCAAGACAACCAGCAAATCAAACTGTATATACAGTCCTACTTTGTGTTTGTTCTTAATAAGGAAATGAAGACATCAGAAAAAAAAAACCCAGACAGCTTTTTTCCAATTAAAAAGGTATAAAAAGAAAATCTGATGTCAGTAAACCGTAAAGCAGTAGGGGCGAACTCACTCTGAGCAGATCCTCAGGTAGATCTCCTCCGTCATTTATTCCTCTGTTCATGGCAGTGAACCTCTGAACTGAGGGCTTGTCTCTGACGTTCGGGTTGTGTAGACTTGTGTTCAGCATGATCACAGCAAAAGACAACACGTAGCAAGTATCTGAGGGGTCAAAAAAAAAAAAAGGAGTTTCCATGTCAGGTTCCTGTTTTTAACCTGGAAATTAATCCCTCCTGTGACACACCAGCTGCTCTTCCTTTTAATTTTAAAACTCCAGACTATTTCCATGGTTTTAGTTCTTTATGTTCCTTACAAGAAAAGATGGGAGAGGATGCAGAGAAAGAGGGAAGAAAGTATACGCTGAAATAAGAGGGAGAAGAGGAAGGAAGTAAAAGGAGCAGAGGAAATGGACGTAGGGAACAAAGGGTAGATGGAAGGAAAGAAAAGTGAGGGGAATATAAGAAAGTGGAAATACAGTGGATACATGAGGAAGATTAAAAGAAGTGAAATGGAAAGGAGGACCTGAGTGGAAAAGCTTGGGTGACACATTCACCCACCAGTGCTCTGAAACACTCCGGGGTTGCAGTGGCAGTATCTCTGGGCGAACGCCTCCATCATGCGGTCGATCTTCTGAGCCTCACCAGGCAGCCTGAAGCTCCACAGGAACTGCCGCAGCGCCTGGACCAGGTTCAGGTCCGAGAACTCGTGCAGCTCCAGGAAAGCGTGCAGAACCTTGATGTTGAACTCATCTCTGAATGCCAAACAGGATCCAACCCAAACATCAGAAACACAGAGAAGACACACGTGCTCCATTAGAGCTGCTCGTGTTACATTATGAATCACAACTGAAATGATTTGCATTAAAATGTTAAAAATCCCCACCTCTCCCCCAGGTAGTCACCAATGGCCGTCTTATTCAGCCCCTCCCCCTTGTACAGAAACTGTGCGATGTCTTCGCTGGTGTTTTTCAGCAGCGAGCTGTCTATCAGAAAGCGAATACCCTGAAGAGGAAAAAGGAAAAACGAATTAAAAAAGAAAATAAATAGTCAGTTACGGCTGATGCTGGTTGGCTGCTTATTGAATATTTCACCTAAAGGCAAAACCTTTCGTTAAGATCAACAAAGTTTAAATATCAACCTCTATTTGCTCTACAGCTGAAATATGAAAGTTAATTTATTTAACTAATTCAGTCCTAAAAAGTAGCTAATATAGACACCTTAACACAGAGTGATTTATTTCAGTTCACTTTGAGGATTAAAGCCAACAGCTCTGCAAACCAATATAAAAAGAAAGATGCAGTATTACACAACGTTATGGCTTCTACTATTAAGGAAAAGACTTCCAAACTAATGGGCTTCAAAGAGGTTCTTATCGCAGACGTTAACTAGAACATTAAGTGGAAGGAAAAACTGCGATGAAATATGTCAACAGTCAGGGATGATCTGGGGAACCAGTCCATCTGCTGAGGTTGCACCAACATGTAAAAAAAAAAAAAAAATCAGCACTGACGCGCTAGCTGGAGACTCAATGATCATGGGATCACTGTGCATGGTTGGCCGAACATTGACTAGGAAAGGAAGCAACTCTCCGTCCCAGAAAATATTGTTTTGTTTTTGTCTTCTGGAAGCTATAATTATCCAAAAAAACTGAAATAAAAACCTAACTTTATCGCCCGATATGTATGGAGTAAATTAAGTTTCAAGTTTTAAATCTAATTACTGAGAAAAATCTAATGTCTGATAATATTCTGTTAATATGTAGCTTTACCTTTATTCCTAATATATATCTTATTGTTTGTCACCTCATATAATGAGGTTTTCTACATATTTTATGCTCTGGGAACTGAATCTGTCCAACAAACACAAGCATAAAGTTTATTTTCTGTATTTAGAAATTAAATATAGAAGAATAAATGATCTGTTCACCTTTGCAGGGTCCATGTTGAACTTCTTTCGGCCTATGGCCATCTGCTTGTTCCTCTGCATGCTTTTCCTACAAACAAAATATTAGAATCAGATTAATCAGATTAATCAATTATTGAAATATGTTTTAATTGTTTTAGTAATTTATCACATGCCATTAGCTGAAAGAAAAAAGGAAATCTACCCAGAGCAGTAATTATACCCAAATTGTAAATAATATTTGCATTATAATGAAAAACCTTTTTTTTCTGCGAATATGATCGATCCAGAACTCCTTAAATAGCATAGTTATAACTTCACTGGGTTTACATTCTGTTTTAATTCTAATTTAAGGAACCTTTTGCTTCAAATAAATCGAAAGGTAATCGATTAGCAATATAATCGTTATTTGCAGCCTTACATTTATATTCTGCACTATTAAAAATAGTGTTCGGTTTACAAGCATTAGGTTTAAGGACTTCAGTGTTTTGATTTTTTTGCTTTATTTCACATTAAGGCAGGAAGATGTAAAATCAAAAGATTATAAATGGTTTGGGCAGATTTTAGTGAGAATGGTGCTGCCAACGCACTGATCACAGGACAGTTTTTGAGAGATACTTTACCTCTCTTCAGTCACACCCAGGTTTTCAATCTCATTGGTCACCTCTGCTATCTCATCCTTCAGCCTCTGAGAACAGACAGAGTAGAGGAGGATGAAAATCATGGAACAGATGGAAAGTTGGTTCAGCTTAAAAAAAACAAAACAAAGAGAAACATTTTCTTTGCTATACGGTAATTAAACTGTTTATTTCTTAAATCCCCATAGGGATGCTTTACTTCACTGTTGGAATAGACTGCACATTTTTTGTTTACTTCAAGAACAACTCACTGACCAGCGCATCACGACCAGCGCCATCCCACTCAAGCGACAGCCCACTTAATCTCCTTAAAGTGCCGGCGTGATTCACTGCTGCCCCGGCAGAGTCCCTCCTCTTCTCAGCAGGAGTTTAGTAAAACCTCCCTCTGCAGAGAGTCCTCTCTGGGATCTTTGGCACCTGTTCTGATGTCATCTCTCACCACCTCTACCCCTGTTTCCACTTCTCTGCCCTTTCCTTTAAATCTGACCCAGATTTATCAGTCTACTCATCCCTGACACCCTCAGAGGGATGTTTGGGTGCCACTGAGAATACAGGAATATGAGAATCAAAAGCTGGCTGGCTTAGTGGAGCTGATCAGGGGAGTCGGAGAGAAACAGATGGAGAAACATGGAGCCGGCAGAAAATAACAGGACCACAGAGGTTATTTCAGTTTAAAACAGAAATATAAACAAACAATCAACTGAAAGTTAATGGTTGAGAAATAACTTTTAGACTAATTCATTAAATTACATCCCTACAATAAAAAATAAATGTTCACCATGGATTTATAGCCCATATTTCTAAAGAAGACGGGATTAAAATATGAAACCTGGAAAAAACAGGAAGGAAGAAGCCAAGGAACGACAAAAGAAAAGGTGACAAAAAAGGCAGGAAAAAAGA